TGTCAAAACAAATTAATCCTTTTAAATTTCTATTATAGATTGATTCGAATGCCAGTGCCACCGTGTCAGTCTGATTCTATCAACTAAAATAAAGACGCTATTTATATCTGTATTGTACGCTCATTCAAATATCAAAATCGAGAGGTGAGTGTGAATTCATCAAATAAAACTATCTCTATTTCTATTATAAGTTGATACAAATGTCAAAATGTGGATACGTTTGATCTTTTAAGATATAGTGAATATTTTTATTTTTCCAGAATAAATTGTTTGGCACTAAATCTGCTTTTTAATTATCGAATCATTCACTACTTCGGCTTTACATGAAATTTATTGATCATTTTCAGATTTGGATCACCATATAATAGAGAAGTAAGTAAATCTAGTATATTTTTGTGAGAACAAAATCGCAAGTAAAGTTGATCTTATAGAATATACTAAATTTATTTATTTCTCTAGTACACAATAATTGGAACATGAAAATGATCAATATGTTTCAATTAAAGCTGAAGTAATAATAGATTCGATGACTAAAAAACAGATTTAGTCCGAACCATTCATATACGACACCTTTTCTTCTATTTCATATATAGGTTTTCTATGAAACTTTATCTACAGAACTTTTATCTTAGTTTAATACGAAGGTTTGATATGAAATGCTTTGTATGGAACCTTTTTTTACTGTTTTTGTGACATGGTATAGTACCTAATCTTGTTTTTTTTCGAAACCAGAAAAGATTCTTCCCGTCTGCTTGCAGAAGGAACCTTTTTAGGTTCGGTAAAAAAAACTTTTTTCTAAGAGTGTACTCATTGGTGAAGTAGAGGGAGGTGAAAATTTTCATTTTAACACTTCTCACTCGCAGTTTTCAACGAAAATATATGCGAATTCTACAAAATTCCTGATCAGTACTGCAAAATTTTGTGGTCTAAATATGTGTCCTAAAATCTGATTATAGGTTCGCAGACTATCATTTCGCTATCCTTTTGCCAAACTCTATAGTGTATCGGCATTGTTAACAGTAAAAACTATACTTAATCGAAAAAAATCAAACTGAAAATTTTCAAAACCTAACTTTGGATATGGAATTTTCACTTTCTTTGACTTTATTAAAACTTGAAAATTTCTTTTATAATAAAAGAGATCATTTTCCATTTATTCATGTAGAGAATAGAGAACATTCACGCAAAAAGATCAATACCTTATTCAGATTTCCATTATCGACAAGCTAAATTGTTTACCCTAATTCTACTATTTTTCCTTCAGTACTATTTTCGTGACCAGAAGCTTAGATTAACAATCAATAAATTAAACGAATGATCATTAATTTATTTAGATAATCACTTATTTAATTACTTAAGATCTGTCAAATATATGTAAACGTCAGTAAATGAAATAAAAAAATAAGTAAAAATATCAAAATGTATAAGAATATGAATCACTCATATGACGCATACGACTTGTTGTACGTCTCTATGCATTATTTGCTCCTATCCTTTACTTGACAATCAACTGAGTGTGAACAAAAAAACATATGGAAGAAATACAAGTTGTTTGATTTGAGAGCAAAATATGTGATGCAGAAATCGTCATTTTGGGTTAAAACAGTTCTATAGGATAATCCTAAAAAAAGAAAAAGAGGTAGACGAGCTAAAACCAAACTTATCTTACTAGTAAAATGGCTTGATTTTCACTCTTCAGATTGCTATCTAAGGTTCTCTTGAATTTCTTATTTATTCTCTATTTCTTTATTAAATTTCCTTTCTCTTATATCAAATTAATCTTTATAGAAATAAAACTTAATTTTTCCATCGATAATGTCTCATTTTTTTTTACTGATATTTTAATATAAGAAGCTGACCATTTGATTTATTTTATCGGTCAGAAATTATGTTCGCTTTATCTTTACAATAAACCAAGTCTTTTTTCATTAGCCTAATATCTAACTAACATCCGATCACATCAAGATGAAGAGTCCTGACTCAATATCAATATCTCTAATTCACATTATCTACTGGAAAGGTACAATGCCTTCCAATAGAAAATATTTTCTTTTGATCAGCTGATTTTCTGTTCAATTAATTACATAGTTCAAGTAAGAATTCTACTCAAGATTTGACATCACTAACTAGATTTATTTCACTGTTTGGATTTTGTGGAAATGATTAAATAGTAAAAACATAATCGAAATTTTTTTGTGTAGATTACTAATGTTTGTAATCAGTATATCTTAAACTTATCATACTCTTCGTAAAATCTATATGGATTTCATAAAATATTCTTATATTATAAAAGATTTTTCTTACTTACTAGAGAGTTTTTGTCGTAATTCTAAATTGATTAAATATCTGTTTTTCTTCTGATTGAATGCAACACTTTTAACACAAAAACGAACACCAGGTGTAATGAGTTCTTCCTCTTCTTTTGGATATTTTGAGTATGAACTTATATCCATAATAAAACCATCCAACACTTCCATAATGAATAAAGTATTTCCCAGTGCCTTTGCTTTTTTACGATTGCGTGTGCAGGATGTATAGACTTTAAATGATTGATGTGAACTTTTATTTTTAGCCATTTCTTCATATTGAACGATTTGCTCAGGTGTCATATTAGCACTTCGATAAATTGTTTTGTTCTTAGTCAATTCTTTGTTAAATGGATTATTCAATAATAACAAACAAAATGGACCTAACGTAGGTACTTTGCTTCGCCATATATTCTCTTGTTCTTTGTCTCCTACTAATTTCATAGTTGTATTCAGTGCTTTGTATAAGAAATTTTTCGATGTATAGAGATAAACACATTGCTTCCATACTTCTTCGATTCCTTCGTTGTTCTTTTCTCTTAGCATTGCTGCCATTTTTTCAGCTTTTCGTTCTTTTCCTATTTGTTTTCCTTCTTCGATAATACCTTGAGCTACTTTTTCAACAAACATCGATGTCATTGCTGAAGTTTTCGAAGATATATCATTTGGTTCAAAGTTTAGATATTTTTTTATTTCAATGAAAAATGGAGATGCAGAACCAAAATGACCACCAAATAAAGATTCCGAACTAATAGGAAGACCCATAAAACGTTCTTCTCGTAATTGTTCATCTTTGCTCTTATGTTCAATTTCTTTTATAGCTCTTTTCTTGTGATAATCACTGTTAGGCATTTGATATTTACTATCGACAATAATATTATCATTGACCGTCATGGTTTGTGGTTGATACCTTTTATGAGTTTCTTCTACGACAAAATTTCCTGCGCCGGAAGAATAACGCTGTTCCCCTGGTACGGGTGTAACCCATGGATTCCAATTTGAATGCGAAGACCAAACACCATTTTTTGACGAATCATTTGACGTTGAATATGGAAAACTGGCCATAATAATTATTTTCCTTTCTAATCAGTATCTATAAGCGAAACAATGTCATAATCAGTTGTTTTACAATATATAATAATATAAAGTTTCTCACGAACTATTTTCTTTAGAAAAGTATTTGTTTCAATCGTTTTATTACAAAAAAAAAGAATTCTCATATTACATTAAAATAAAAGAGAATTATGCGATGTTTATGTAATCTCTGTCAAAAGCAAAATTCATCGTATTGTTTAGTCGAGGAATATTCTGAAACTAATGAGTGAATTTTAATTAGAATTACCATCTGTTTACTTATGCATTGGTTAAAATGGTTTTAAAAACGTGACATAAAATGATAAAACGAATCCATATGCGATCTACGTCAAATGTGCCGGTCAAAATAAACAATTTTATGAAAACATAAATTTTATTTATTGAACGAGTTTGAAAGAATCAAAAAGAATTTCGTTTGTCTTATCAACCAAAACATATTACTTGATTAGCTATTGAAAATTTTTTACAGAAAAGAATATATTATTATTCGATAAATTTGCAATAAGCGAAATATTTAAATGAATATAAAAAGTAGGAAAATAAACGCAAGTGCAATACAATGAATCATATAAGTAAACTACGTAGTCAAAGAAATTGAAGGATTGATAAGTATGATGTTTATACAATTCAAAATATATAAACATTAATATATAATTTAACATGATATCTAACGACGTAGAAAATTAACAGAATAACTATAAAACCGATATTACGCAACTGTTCTTTCATGGTTACTTGAATTTGATAAATTATGAGAACTAAATTGCACAAAATTTAGATGAATTGAAGGCTAAAATACGCAACAAGTTAAATTGAAACACAATAGTGCACAGATTTATTACACTCGTATAGAGCATCAATGAATCTGCGCTAAAAAATAGACGACCGAATTTCAACTATGTAAAAACATTTGATTAACAAGTCATTGACATTTTTGTGAGACACGAACTGAAGGGAGTGTTGAAGTGTATAAGGGTAGAAATTTGCCCCTCTCCATCTCCACAGACCGTGACATAAAAACATCAAAGACCATCAGATGTCACAATAAACTTGGTAGATGGAAGATTAGTGGTTGTAAGGGATTCAAATTTTTAAAAAAACATATCGAAAATTCGCTCGTTAAATTTTTGCCTTCTAAAACCCTGGAACTAAAGAGCAAGAAAACTATATGGTATAAAAGAATATTATTTCTTCAATAACAACAGTTAGTTCGTGTTTCACATTTTTAATCTCGCAAGGGATTGTGCTAACAACTTTTTTAAAATTATACGAACACTAAAATGTGTCAAGATAATTGAAGATTAATAAAGTTTCACTATTCAATGAACTTTACAACAAAAAATCGAACAAGATAAAAATTTTAAATGAATAAAAAAAGGTATTTAGATCATACAATCCAAATAACTGAAATTAACGTAAGTAACTAAAAATAATAAGAGAACTATGTGCAATATTGAGTGATAGATTATGAAAATTTTTACATTATTTTAAACAAATAAAACTTAATTAGCTATGCCATCTGAAAAAGTAGAAGATTATGTTATGACCAACGCTAAATATAGCTGTAACCGGTCGAGATAAGTTCGATAGGAACAAACTAATATTTAGATGGTAAGTTTCGTTTCTTAAATTCTCAAAATGTATAATAAAAAATCAAACAAAAAAATGACAAAATTACCCTTACGAATTTATGCTCGATACTGTGAATTCATATTGAAGTGATCTCGTGAAATATGCAAGGTATTTTCAACGAAAATTAACTTATTAATACTATTCTAGCTCTGGTCTATTCATAGAAATATTTATAGATATGATAATGTTAACCTTGTATCCAAAAATAAGTCTTTTTTTGCAGCCAATATTTTACAAAAGTATGTGAAAATGAAGAAAAAACAACAGAAAAATTCTGACAAATGTTTAGATTGAACTGCTTTTGAAAAAAGTTGTATTGATCGGTTGTTATACCGATGGTGATGAGTCTTATACTAGGTCGCGTTAGGCAGGATGTTAGCCGATACCAGTCTCAGCTATAAATTATCTCATTACGTACATTTAGTATATGTTTTAGTGAAATATATTTTCGAATACAAATACTCTTCCGGTAAGGCAATGATTTATGAAGAAAAATGGAAAAATGAAATCAAAATTAGACTGATAGGGAATTAATGTACTAGCAAGTCTAAAGTCCCTAACAACTAGTTCTCTGTATTGGTTGCATTTATTCAATGTGGGTCTCAGGATTCTCTGATAACTGCTGTTTATTGGTTTGTCATATATACTTATTTTGTAACCTAGAAAAAAAAACTTACCTACGCAGCTAAGCCAACGACTAAATGGTCCATAATCCGTGTAATTATGTGATTAATATCAGAAGCTTATTATAGTGAGAGCTGGAAGATAGATCATTGAATATTCTATGTAATGCTTTCCAAAAATGGTCCGAATGACTCGAAAACAACGTAGACTCATCATGATAAGTCTGAAAATGAATGTCAACAAGATGTTGACAATGGCGTTTATTTAAAACCCTTTTTTGTATAATGAATACGCTTGCTTTTCGATTGCAAAGTTATTTCAAGAATCGTAATCTTATTCTTAGAAAGAGCACTTTTTAAACCTCTTTTATAGCTTTCTATAAAATGCTTACAAAAAGAATCAAATTATCAATATGTTAGAAACGTCTTACGTCAATTTTTTTTCAAATAGTTTCTTCCATAAAACCTCTTCTATTGACAAAGCTAAGTCATTGGCTACATAGACTGACTCATCATTAGTATTATCAGTTCAGTAAGCTCTAGTATCATAATTTATTTAGCAAAACTCTATTTGACCTTAATTTTGAAATAAAGTAGTAAATAATCAAATGAGGCACTCCAGGTCTATCCAAATAGTATCGTTTTGGGGCCGAAACTGAACTGTAAAAGTGGTCAAAACGGAGTCTTTACAGTAGTATACCGAATAGATTCAGGCCGATCTCGGTCTGTATTAATTCGTATTTTCTGGCGCAGAAATACGCACCGTATTGGGTCATTTTCTCTCTGTTTACAGATAAAATTCGAATCTTAAGATATGATTCTTGTATGATCGTATTCTAAGATTGTGCAAGATCTTCTATTATTCATAAAATATTTTATAGAGAGTTCAAATAGAGTTTTTCATTGATCTCATCGCTCTGTTCTAATCTCTGCTCTTCCCTCTTTCCCAACAAATCGTTCTTCATTACCTTCTGTCACTTTCCATCACCTTTTACTCAGCATCGCCACATCTATCCATCTGATTCATACTTACCATTTCGACGACGTTAGTAAAAACATGTCTAAATAAAAAACAAATAAAAATTTAATATATAAAATTTATGCTTACATTTACCATGATATTATTAAAGTATCTAAATAAAAAAAGAAGAATTTTATATATAAAAATACATACTTGCCCATTCAATGGCATAATTCAAATATATAAATAAAAAAAATTTAAAGTATTAAATACATAACATTCATACTTGCCTATTCAACGCTTTTATCGAATTATCTAAATCAAAAAAAGTATATAAAGTTTGTATACAGTGTATGGTCCGTAAATAACATGGCGATAAGAAATTTAAGTATCTCCGGCAGATGTCGACCAAACGAGCTGAAATTTTTACCAGTGATGGAGACATATTCAAAGTTTATATCCATGAAGACATGCATAGAGAGACCTTTTGTTAAGTATTACTATTGACCTCAACACAAAACTTTTACTTTTTTAAAGATAGGAGAAGAAACAATATACTTAACAATAGATCTCTTTAGGCATATCTTCAGGAATATGAAGCTTGAATATGCCACTATCAATGATAAAAAAGTCAGCTCGTTTGCTCGAATCATTACTAAGATATTCAATTTTTTTTCAACACAGTGACTTTTGTGCTACTCTGTTTATTGTTTCTTTTCTTATCTGTGAAAAAGTAAAATTTTTTGCGTTGAAGTCAATAGTGATACTTAACAAAGGGTCTCTCTAGGCATGTCTTTATGGATATAAACTTTGAATATGCCTCCATCAACGGTAAAAGTTTCAGCTAGTTTGGTCGATATCTGCCGAAAATACTTTAATTTCTAATCACCGTGATATTTATGGACTACCCTGTATAATCAAATATGATCTCGTAAGATTGTGATCAGAAAATTTTATAAGAATCTTTCAAGATTTACTTTAGCATCTTATTATAAGATAGATATGTAAAACGGATAGAAACGCCGCGTAAACAGTGTTTCGTTACGGTGTCGTGAATGGTGTAGGATAAACGGCTCGTAAAACGTTCCGTAATGCATCTGTACATGTATGACTAGCCGATAGTCGTGCATAAAAAATATCGGGTCACAGTAAAAAAGCCATTTTTTATCTGTTTACCATCGTTTACGGACCGTTAATATAGACTTGGGATATTAAGAACAAGGATAGACCAATTTGTAATCATGTTTTACGTTACTGTTCTCTTTTTATATATCTAATTTTGTCGGTTACATTCCAGAGGCAATCATTGATCGTCTTACGCTACACATCTCAATTCTTAAACCTTATGAAAAATTTGACTAAGATCGCATTTGAAAACTATGATAGTCATAATTACCGCAGAAAGATATTCAGCGACGGCTTGTAAACAAAAACAAGGCTGAAATTTAGTTAGGTCAGAAAAGTAATATTGCCAATATGTGTTGAGTATGCGATGTTGCTGTTGTGTTATTCAGTTAAATAGTTGTGTTCACTGATGCGTAAATAACTGTTCTTTTACTTGTATGGAGAAGAGACAGTGAAAAATTAAAAGAGTAATGCTTCATTTCATCTTTCACAACATAAACAGCATAACAACAAATTAAAACACGCATAAAAATATATTGCTGATGGTTAGTTCTCATTTCGTCGAATGCTTATTGATTTTATCGTTTTGTCGAATGCTTAATTGATTTTATCGTTTCGTCGAAAATTTTTTTTCCTAGTATTCCTGTTTCGTCGAATTTTTTTTTCTAGTGCTCTTGTTTCGTCGAAAAGCATAAGTGAAATAAAACGATAATGAACATAATTAGCTCATCATAAATTCTTCGATTCTGTTTAGTTGACTAATAAAAAAGAATAATACTGAATGAACTTGTTGAAAGAGTTTATTTGAGAACATAGTAAGAAATTCACATTCGCTATTGATCAAGAAAATGTACGAAAAACCATTCAGAATTTTTTTAATACCAATTAATCGCATAACTTTTTCAAGAAACGTTTCTAAACTTAATGTCTGTTGTTTATAACGATTTTCTAAATCTTGTAGCCGAGCATTTCGATTAACAAATAATTTTTTTCGTGGTCGTAATGTTCCAGTTGCTAATTGACGTAATAATATTGCTGAATTATAGGCATGATCGTTTTGAATTGCACGAATAAATGCATAAAAATGTGGATGTGTAATATGGTTTAAGTCAGTATTTAAACGATGATGCCAATCTTCTAAATTATTGTTTGTTCTTATACTTTTGAAGTCATAATAATTCCATGCTTGGTTAGTTTATTTTGATAAATTTACCCTCACTTTCAAGAATCAAAGAACTTATTATAAGCTAATTATATATTCATTATCTTTCCATTTTATTCATACTTTTCGACGAAACGAGAAGTCACCATTGCTGATAATTTTTCTACATTAGCGAATATGTCATGAGTGAAGGTGTATAGATGGGTAATTAATCAAGCTAGTCATTATGGTTGTCACACTTATCACATATGTACACATGTTTACGAATGATACAAGAAGAGAAAGACCCATGCTAATAGACTTTGACAAAAAACTCGAAGTTAAATAAATGGTCCTAATAATTACAATAATGAAAGAACAAACAGAAATTTTAAAAGAATCACTAAATAGGCAAATTTTCTATTTGAAATTTAGAATTTTAATCAACTTCTGAAACAGAATATTTTCATTATCATTTAAAGAGCATTTTTCTTTATATTAGAGCCGAAAAGTAGGATGTCTCTGTTTCGAAAAAAAAAACGAAGCAAAAAACTTTTTTTTTTGTTTTTGATGGTAATCGATTCGATTCATCAATTAGAAATGTGAAGTTTGAACTATTTATTTAATCTTAATTCTTTATAGATTCGAATCGATTGTTATTTGGTATTATATAAGTTTGTATATATATAGAATGTTTTTTTGTCTCTTGTTATTGAAAACATTTTAGACGTTGAGGAAAATAAGTGTGGAGTGAAATTTATTTGAATAGGAAATAAAGAATAATGATTAGCAACGCGTTTTAAATGATTCTTCCTCAGCACTCTAAGTTAAAATGTGTCGGATGTGTCGTGATTCACAACACATTTCACGACACATTCGAGCACGACACGAGGTGCTCGTTGCGACACATTTTCTCCAGCAAGCGTACGACACATTATTCCACGACACTTCCGACACATTCTGAAATCAATGTTCGAATCTAGGCTTCACCGTATCCATAATTTTTTTTCTTTCATGCATTATATTCATCCATATTTGATTAGTACAATTAACATCGATGTTTCATGCCAAAGTATAAACCAGGCAGATCTTGAGATCCAGCCGTGTAAGGCAAGTCAGATCTTGGTCGGACTATTGCCAGGTAGACCTTTCTTTAGGTGAGGTCATTACTTCTCGAAGTATTTACAAGAAATATATAATCGAGAAATAATTATACAGAATGGTGCACAAAAACTTATGATTTTCATGTGATGGTTCAGATAGATTATATATAGATATACACGCGGAACAAAATCGGTGAATGAACAGTCGTCATATATGTACAGAACGGTTAAAAATACGACACATTCAAGTGCGACACATTTTCTTGCTGAGACCCACAACACTATAATTTACGACGGAAAAAGTCGACACATTTTAACTTAGAGTGAGGCTATACACAGATTGTTATAAGTGATTCATGAGAAAAATATTGAATAAGACAAAAAAGAAACAAAAAATCTTAAGCAAAGTAGTGGGTCACAAGAGAAAGAAGGAAGAACAATTATGTAATGATTTTACGACAGAAGATGACATAGATTATGTAGGGTGTGGGTGTGGGTGGGTGTGGGTGTAGGTGTGGGTGTATGGGTGTGGGTGGGGTGTGGTGTGGGTGTGGGTGG